CACCATACCCAGCTAATTTTTGTGATTTTTAGTAGAGACAAGGTCTCACTATGTTGCCCAGGCTGGTCTCAAACTTCTAGGCTCAAGCAATCCTCCCGCCTTGGCCTCCCAAAATGCTGGGATTACAGGTGTGAGCCACCATGCCCAGTAAGGTTAAATCTTTATGTACTCCTTTATGTACATGAACCAGTTAAGACTGCCGTGGAGCCATCCAAGATGGAAGACGAGAATCTATGCTTGCATAGATCCAGAGTAGGGGCTAGGGATTTCTGGTCTTCCACTTTTAGCTACACTCCTTTATCCTTGGGAAAATGCTAGATATCTCTTGGACTGTTTCAGTGAGGCACGAAATGGATAGCCCTCCATTCCAAGGGTAACAGTGTGTGTTGATGTTGGAGATTTAATCAAGTGTCACGCCCTCTGGTGACATAACCTTCAGGAGATTGCCACAGCTGGGACTCCTTACCTTTGAGAGCTTCGTTTATGTAATTCTGCATATAATACACCCTCAGCTGGTCGTCCTCAGCATGCAGCCCGTCGTCGATTCCGTTGGATATTATGTACATGGGGAGGTCTCCGTACTTGAACTTCAGCCAGTTCAGTACTTTGCGCAACCCCCAGGGCACCACTGCCACCTGACTGGGAGAGTTGAGCCACGTGATGTCGGTCATTTCTTGCACTTCTAGGTAATCATTGTATTTTATTGGATCTTCTTTTTCTGAGTCTACAAGGATGGTGGTATAATGGCTTAAAGCCAAAAAGTCAAAGGTACCCTGGATTAGCTTTTTTTCATCTTCAGTGATATAAGGAAGATGAAAATTGTTTCTTTGGTTCAGCCAGTCCCTCATCACCCATGGATAATCTCCAGAGCCGAAAATGGGCTCAGCCAGCCAGCCAATGTCAAATTCCAAAACTCTCTCGGCCACTTCTTTGTCCTTTTGGGAGAAAGGGCAGGCAGGTTCTATCCAATCGGCCTGCAAGGCTATGGATATTTTCCCATTCTGAGCATGCCTAAACTTTTCATTATACACATGCCAAGCCAGGGCATGGGCCTTCAGGAGGTTGTGGCCGGCACTGTATGTCATGTTCCTTGTATACGGCTCATTCATCGTTATCCAAAGCTTGACGTGATGGCCGAGCTCTTGAAAGCACAGTCGGGCATACTCCGCAAAGGCCAGGGCAGTGTAGGGGTTCTCCCAGGCACCCTGCCTGGCCAGGAGGCGCGGCAGTCCTTGGTTCGGGGCCACAGGCTGCCACAGGGCCACCACCGGGGTGATGTTGACACGGACAAGCTCGCTGACCATGCAGCGATAGTACTGCAGGATGGTGTGGTTTACCTGGGACTGGTTACCCAGAGGGAGAATCAGGGCCCAGTCCAGGGAGAAGCGAAAATGCGTAACGTGCATTTCCTGGAGTAAAGTGATCTGGGGCTGGATGGCGGCAAAATCAACACAGTAGGATTTTCTCTTCTTGGTCACAACCCCATCCACTTTAATAAGCCTTTTACTGTGGTGGACATCCCACAGGTAAACATTCAGGTCGGTAAACTGAGATAGAGTGGTATCTACCTGCAAAGGGCAGAGTAAACATGAGCGTCACCTGGACAGTCCTGAGGAAGTAACTCAATGCAATTATTTTGGCAAAACTAGCCAGGAATATCAGCAAAAATAGAAGCCTTTCTAGCTGAGAATGTGACCTGTTTTCATCAATTGTCAGCTCCTGAGGAAGACAATATTCCACTTTCTCATATGCACACTCGCTTTACCCGCAGTTCTAACTCTTAAACTGTTTCTCTAATGTTACCCCCAAAAGTCTGGATTTGGTCACTTCAGATGACAAACGCTAATGAGTCTTGCACACTGCTGGTCAGTGTTATGTAAGCAGAGTATTTTTGGGTGTTTTTCTTTTAATATAAGAAATCACTAATGGCATGAGACTTTCAAATAAAAAAAAAAAAACTAGATGAAAAAAAGAAAAAGTTTAAAATGTGAGTGAGTTAGCCAGGTGCAGTGGCTCATGCCTATAATCCCAGCACTTTGGGAAGCTGAGGTGAGAGGATCACTTGAGGCCAGGAGTTGGAGACCAGCTGGGGCAACATGTCAAAATCCCATCTTAGCCTGGCATGGTGGCATGGGCCTGCAGTCCTAGTTACTCAGGAGGTTGAGGTGGGAGGATAACCTAAGCCTGGGAGGTCAGGACCGCAGTAAGTCATGATCACATCACTCTATACCAGCCTTAGTGATGGAGCAAGACCTTCTCTCAAAAAAAAAAAAAAAAAAATCAAATTTAAAAAACTGAGTAAGTAAAGTAAGAAAATGAAAAGATATTTATAATTAAATTGTGCTTAAAATTACACTCTAAATTGAGGTTTGCTATAGGGAGAGGAAGTGCTAAATAAACATAACTCTTGCCTTTTGTTGGGTTTAGGGTCAATGACAGAATCTAATAAATTCAATCTGACTGATGGTAGAAAGTCCAAGAGAAAGCCAGGTGCGGTGGCTCATGCCTGTAATCCCAGCACTTTGCAGGGCTGAGGCGGGCAGATCACGAGGTCAGGAGTTTGAGACCAGCCTGACCAACACAGTGAAACCCCATCTCTACCAAAAATACAAAAAGTAGCTGGGCATGGTGGTGCACACCTGTAATCCCAGCTACTCAGGAGGTTGAGGCAGGAGAATCACTTGAACCCAGGAGGCAGAGGTTGCAGTGAGCTGGGATCATGCCACTGCATTCCAGCCTGGGTGACAGAACGAGACTCCATCTCAAAAAAAAAAAAAGAAAGAGAAAGGAAGGAAGAAAGGAAGGAAGGAGGGAGGGAGGGAGGGAGGGAAGGAAGGAAGGAAGAAAGGAAGGAAAGAACAGAAAGTCCAAGGGAGAACATGGAAGGAAAGAACAATATTGTCATCCACCCATAGTGGAATTTTTAATATAGTTAAAAATTTTTTCTAAATTATTCTTCTGTTAACAATGATGCCAATTATAGTTCTCAATCATATGTTATAAAATCCTCCCAAATAAAAATACGCATTTAGGAAAAGTTGACAAATTATCAAATCAAAATCACAAAATCATTCCTTCACGTGTCCGCTGTGGAGGGAACGCAAACTGAAAAATCCATCTGGAAGAACTGCACCCTAAGCCCGTGTTCCCCTCTGAAATAATCCCGTCAGAACAGGTTCCTTGGTCTGATGCGCTGTATAAAAGCAAGGGTCACAAACCGTAGCAGAGTTTTTGTTGCATTTTACCGGCCTGTTGCAAATGCACTGCTATTTCTCTGGAGAGGTAAATGTGTTTACAAAGAAAAGTCATTAAAAACAGCATGTCAAAGGGAAACTGCCTTTTCTGGAGAAGCGTCCCTCGCAGAACACTCATGCATGAACTTCCCCGAATGCTGTGGGAATGCTGTCAGAAGTATTTTTCCACTGTGATGCACCCCACAAATCATGTTTCCTCAGCTTTGAAGGAGAGAATATTTGCACGCTCTTTTGAAGTGTTCAGAGTTTGAAGGAATTTTTTGGATTATTTTTATAGAGCTCTGAGTTGACTAAACTCATAACTTTTTTTTACCGTGATTGTTCCAAAACAACAGCTTTTATTCAGTCCATCTGAAAACAAATATGAAAGACTACGGTGTCATTTCTGGAGGAAAAAAAATGTTTCTTGAAAATGCAGAACAGGCCGGGCGCGGTGGCTCACGCCTGTAATCCCAACACTTTGGGAGGCCGAGGCAGGTGGATCACGAGATCAGGAGATCGAGACCATCCTGGCTAACACGGTGAAACCCTGTCTCTACTAAAAATACAAAAAATTAGCCGGGCGAGGTGGCGGTCACCTATAGTCCCAGCTACTCAGGAGGCTGAGGCAGGAGAATGGCGTGAACCCAGGAGGCGGAGCTTGCAGTGAGCTGAGATCGCGCCGACAGAGTCTGTCTCAAAAAAAAAGAAAGAAAGAGAAAGAAAATACAGGACATTTGAGGCAAAATTCCACCTAACCTCCATTAATTTGTTAAGTTTTACTAAAAAATAAAATAGTGAAGTTGGACCTTTCAGAAGGAATGGCTATTAAAACATGTATTTAGTATGTTATGGGAGAAACTTTCTCCTCACAGGGACCAATGTTAAAGAGGCTCTATGTCCTCAGTACATACTGAGTTCGATATTTATATTAACTATGAGCATCCGTGGTTATGGGAAAACAAACCTCTCAGCCGAGAAAGTAGGTCCAAGTAAAGTGACAATCCACGTGAATGAGCCTAAGGTCAGGGTTGTGTGCTTCTTAGGACATTATTTTTCAAGTTGTTCAGGTGAAATGCATGCCTCAAACACTGAAAGTTCCAAATACTCGCCAGGAGGGAAAAGATGAAGTTCAGTGGTTTAAAAATCACTTCTCAGGATTTTAATATAATGTCTTAAAGCTGTAGAGTACTGTTTGTAAGTGAAAACACACACACCTCAGAACTGGCATACAAAGAACTTATTTTGACTGTGTCAGTTAGGCTGACATAGTCAACCTGTGTCCAGTTAGCTTGAGAAGGGTCCTGTCAATGTAACACAGAGCCTGAGATGAAAACCAGAAGAAGAAAACAGCAGTTGCAGCCTTTCCCCACCAGAGAGCTTCCAGAGAAGATTCCATCTGCTGTGGGTTTGAGAGTGACTTAATTTTGTGTTTGTTGAGTTCTGCACAGGAGGAGACTCTGCCAGCAACAGGGGTGCGGTCCCCAAGTTGATGAGGAAAAAAGGACAGTGTGATCTGAGAGAGAGACCACTGGGGCCAATTAGTGGCTGACCTTAGGTCAGATTCTAAAACAATAGCTTCTAGAGTGCAGTAGGAAAAGGAATTATCTCCCATCTCCCTTGCTATTCACTGCTACACTTACTGCTTCTGACCAGCGTTTCTCTTATCCCTCAAGCAAACAGGATGTACCCTTAAGACTTTCTCACTACTTACCAATTCCCAAAGCCAGCACACAGCCCCCGGATGAGGAAAAAAGCAGGAGAAGTAGGGCTCCCTCCGACACCCCTACTCTTGTTCTGCATTCGTTCCCACGGTCTGCACAGCAATGCTGGCTGGGAGATTGTGCCGCATACAAAGGACTGAATCTGCCAGACTCAGGCTGCTATCAGAGATCCGTGCTCAGCAGGGAGCAGGCAAGAGATAGCACAAGGACCAGGGACCATCCGATCTATCCCCAGTCCCAGTAAAGAGGAGGAGGAAGGAGGACTGCGGAGGTCTTCTTCCCTTTCTCCTTCTCCCCTTCTTCCTCACCAGCCTCACTTCTCCCACCTCAGATCCTCTCTGAACCCCACAGTGGAATCTACTCTGAGGAGGGAAATTAGGGTAAGATTTCAAATAGCAGGGGGCTTGGAGAGAAGGAGAGAGTCGGAGCAGGGCAGAAAATTGCACACTAAACAGGAGGGAGCTCAGAACCTTTCTCCTGGGCTCACATATCCTGGCATAGAAGATGACACATCCAGTCTTTTTTTTTTTTTTTTTTTTTTTGCAGCAATGAAGTCTGGCTCTGTCACCCAGGCCGGAGTGCAGTGGTGCGATCTCGGCTCACTGAAAGCTCCACCTCCCGGGTTCACACCATTCTCCTGCCTCAGCCTCCCGAGTAGCTGGGACTACAGGCACCCGCCACCACAACTGGCTAATTTTTTGTATTTTTAGTAGAGACGGAGTTTCACCATACTAGCAAGGATGGTCTCGATCTCCTGACCTCGTGACCTACCCGCCTCGGCCTCCCAAAGTGCTGGGATTACAGGTGTGAGCCAGTCATCTTTTAAATGGAAGGTGAGGGTTTAAGTCTGAGACTGCCTGTAAAATGAACTGGATGGTCTGAAAAAGAAGAATAATCCCAACCAGCAAAAAATGTATTAAGGATAGTGTTAATTTATTTCCTTATAAATAAAAGATTTCAATTTGATATTTACAAGAAAACAGCAACCCATTTCACATTCTTCCAAGCGTTTCCTTTCAAGCTGTGATTTGCAGAACCAATGAATTGGCTACTATAACCCAAACATGTCAAAGCCAACTGCTTGTCTATGGACACTGAACTCTGTCCCTGTCTTGAGACTCTATCACACTTGGACTCTATCAGCAGCAATCCCCCAGCCCTACCCTTGTTACTTACCACCATGCCCGCTTCACTCCATTGCATCATTTGTGCGTACATTGTTTTCTCTCAGTAGATTCCTTTGCTCCTTTGAATGCAAAGGTTGCCCTTACTCATCTCAGTGTACCCTCTACCTGCACTCCCCTTAACCAAGCGACCCGAGCAACTAACACAAGGCTTTGGAGACACTAGACATCCAATCAGTGCTTACTAGAGTATCCAATCAAATGCTGGAAAACAAGTCCCTTCAAAATTTGGGAAATTTAAAAGAATGTTAAAGGCTTACTACTGAGAAGATGCTCAATAAATACTGGTTGATCATTTTGAAGAAATTTCATATCATTTCAAAGACTATTGCTAAAAAAGACATTCTGACCAGTGAATCATTGGATCTAGGGTTTACTTTCTTAGGGTATCTCGGCACATTTGTGGAGCCCACAGTTGTGCCTCTGGAGGAGTCCGCCTCATGTTCCTGCCTCAGTCTCAGCAGCACCACTGAAACTCGGAGGCTTTGGAGTTCTATGTTAGATCCTGTTCGTGAAAAAACTCAACTGCCTTAAAAAGGATCAAAACCCACAGGATGAAAAGAGAGTGTTTTATCTTTTCACTGTCTTAATCGGATCTTAAATATTGATATGTTTTAAATTTATTTCTCTTTGCATCTAACGTAAACAAGATGAAGATAGGAAGATTTCGGGAGAGCAGGGTGCAACATTCCAAATTGTATCCTTAGTGTGCTCATAAGGAATTGGTTTTGGCTCAAAGAACGGACAATGTGCCGTGACAATCAGCCTAGGAAGGAAGCACTACTTACTAGTGATAGGGCTTGGTGAGACTGCTGATAGGTTTTGCCAGCTGACTTACTTGAATGTAGTTGTCAACAATTCCCCAAGCAAAGTCACAGGGAAATGTCCCTTCTAGGGGCTGATTTTCAGGTAAAGGAGGAAAGCCATTTTTCTCTATCAGCTTTTGGTAGAACAAAGCTGAAGACTTTGGCAACAACGTCTTTTCCTGGCTTAGAAAGTCGACATAGAAGAGTCCACGCCTGATGCTGTAACCTCTGTGCCACTCGAAACCGTCCATGAGGGACCACGCAGTGTACCCGATGACATCCACCCCATCCAGCTTGATGGCTGCAAAGGGAAGAGGGGACAAGAGCAACACGACCCTTCGCTGGGCACTTGCATCATGATTCAAGAGCATCTGAGCGTTCTCCTACTTAAATAAAGTGTAATGCTTCTTGTTTGGTAAGCCAATGATTTCTCTTCTTGACAAAAGACTCTAATCAAACCTATATAACTCTACAAATAAATGCCCTCAAAATAGGCCTATCGATATGTTTTTTTGGATTTCTGAGCACCACGACAGAATAATTCCTTATTTATAATAGATGTTCTACAGGGCTGGAAAGATGTCTTGTACCACTTTCCATCCTAGACACCCAGCATTGTGTCTGATGCAATAAATAAATAAATGAAGGCTTTAAAAGCATGATCTATTTATACTGTTTTCTCTAGGAAACATGGACATTCCTTTTTCTTTAAAGTGTTTTACTCAACCAAAATAACAAGAACTGAAAAACATGTGCAGAGAGCTGGATATCCTGGGATATATGTTCAATTTAATCTAAAAATCTAGATTAGTAACTCTGAAAGTTAAGTAATTACAAATATTATAACCCAGTTTCTCATTTACAAATGGGTTTTTAAAAATTACTTTAAGTTCCTCAAGACCCCAAATGAGAAAGGTGTTACACGAATGCATTCCTACTATTGCCAAATTGAATGTCTCCATTAGGATTTAAAAATATAAATTCACATAGTTCATGTTAGATAATCTTGGAGATTTTTTTTTAGAAGACTTTGGCAGGAAATGAGAACTTTACCCAAAATCATACCTTTTAAGGTTTCCATGATGAACTTTTTGAGGTAATACATATATTTGGCATCATCTCTCTTAGTGGTCCCTGAGACAAACCAGCCATTTTCCACAATAAATATTTGAGGATGGTTATATTCAAGGTCAATCCAGGAAAGCAGTTGTCTCAGGCTGGGAGATTCTAATTGGCGGAATTTCATGTGAGGGTCCAAAAGTTGAAAACTCAAGGTTGGTCCAAAGGAAAGAGCAAAAAAGTCAGCAGTTCCTTTGATGAACTTTTTCTCAGATTCAGTAAAATCAGGCAGAAGAGACGAAAGGTTATTCTTCATGCTCTCGGGATAGTCACCATCAATAAATATGGGTTTGGCAAACCAGCCTAGTACAAAGTCCAGAGATTTTTGACATTCTTTGATGCTATGGTCGGTCATTCTTCGAGGATTGATCCAGTGAGAGCTTAGGGCGATGGACACCTGGCCTCCCTGAGTGGGACGGAAAGAAGTATTGTAGAGATGCCAGACTTTGGCATGAGCCTATGAAAAGAAAAACCATGACGAATTTATCTCTAGTTGTGAAGAGAAATGCAATATAATACTTGAATCCCCAACTCAAATTATATGTTTCTCATCAAGCCTAACTTAATGACCAACAATGTAAAAATCAGCTGGAACCAATAAATTATTTCAAAGGTAGGTCACCCCACAGTGAGGTGGTACCAGGACTAGAGTTATTTCCATTGATTTTTAGCAGTCAGTGGAAAAATGTAAATTCCTTGGGTTGAGTGTGTGTTATCCACATTTTGAAAAGCTAATGAAATAAAAGAATTTGTTATAATATCTTACTATTTAATTGACTTTGGATTATGTACTTTTTAATTTACGGGTTTTGTGAAAAGAACCAATGCTACATCTGTGATCACACCAGGAATTTCTAAATAGGATTATATTTTTTATCCTGAAACTGGGAGTTTTCAAAATGACTCAGGTCATTGGAGTTAATTTACTGTTTCAGAGTCATCTCTCAGAGCTAAAATTCTAACAAGCAATCTTCATTCTTCCCTAAGAAGAATCAGTACAATAAATTAAAGAACCCACTCCAGTATCTAACCTTGGCCTACCCTCCAGAACTCTGGGACAGTTCTAGTTTCCCACAGACCCAGGGTGCAAGGTACAAGCCAAGAACAAAAAACAGCAAAATACAGCTGCAAGGAGATCAGATGTCCATTGTTAGCATGCAGCCAGGAGTTTCATGCAGCCAGGAGTTTCGTACAGCAATGAAAAGGGCTTTGCATCCATAAAACCAACTTTATACTCCCATAAATTCTTACTGACTTCTAATATCTTATTTTCATTTGTTTCCTTTTTATCTACAAAGAAGAATGAAAATTATAGGAGTTTTTTCTCCCCTACTTGAAGTGAGTTTCTCTTTCCCTTTGAATTCCTTGATTTACTCTCCCTATTTTCCTACAAATACAAGTGTTGTTTATCAGCCTTTATTCCCCTAACATATCCTCTTTGCAAACTCCATTCTCATTCTCTGTTTGACTCCATATATTCTCCAGAATGATCATGCCAATTTTCATTCCACTCCCTGGGCCTGCAGAAACTCCTTTGTTCATTGAGCCAAATAGCCTCTTCAACATATCCTAAATATTCCTCTCTTGGTTCAATTCAGTACAGGCATCCAAGAATGGCCTCATCAACATTCTTAGGGGTTCAGCCTAACATTTCAATGCAATAAGATAGTTTATGGCTAACTTTTCTTTTTAGTTTCGTGGTGAACATATCTGCTGTGTTTCATTTCACTAAATGTATTTTTTCATGACCTGAAGCAGCTATCTATATGCTAAGAAGGAAACGGAGAATCAAATGTTGATCAAAAGAATACTGGCACTTGCTTATGGGATCTAAGAAACCAGGGTCTTAATCGTGCCACACTTCTGCTAGCTTTGTGATGTCTCCTGTGCTTCTCCATCTTCCCCATCACACCTCCCCAGGCCTCCCTTCCTCATTGAAAGGAAACCTCATGATGTTAACAGTTAAACAGAGGCTGGGCATGATGGCTCATGCCTGTAATCCCAGCACTTTGGGAGGCCGAAATCCCAGCACATTGGGAGAATCCCTTGATACCAGGAGTTCACAACTAGCCTGTGCAAATAGTGAGACCCCAGTTCTACCAAAAATCAAAAACTTAACCAGGCATGGTGGCGTGTGCCTGTAGTCCCAGCTACTAGGGAGGCAGAGGCAGGAGGATCACTTGAGCCCAGGATATTGAGGCTGCAGTGAGTTGTGTTCACACCACTGGACTCCAGCCCAGGTGACAGGGAAAGATACTGTCTCATAAAACAGAAACAAACAAACAAATAAACACAACAGTTAAACATAAAATCCATCAAGCAGTCCAGGTTAGTAATCAGCAATTAACCTCTTGAGACCAAAAACCAAGGGACTTTCCTAATTTGACCCCATTTGAGGCCTATGAACAGTCATGTCCTAAATCTACCAGGCACCTTTCTGTAGAATAAGTGCTGAACAGAGCGTGTAAGAGTGAAAGCAAACAAAGAATGTATTAATCTCGGTCAGTTTTGCAGGAGCTGAAGTCATACAATGGAATTTTTATAATTATAGACCACTCTTCTAACCTTGAGGACTTCAACAAGGCTCAGAGGAGGAGGTTTAGCAAGGACATGATAAATGGCCTGGGCCATCGGGAAAGACATATGGTCTCTGATGGCAGATAAAGTTCCTGCTCAGTCCCTCTTTTTTTTTGTTTTGTTTTAAGACTGGGTCTCACTTTGTCACCCCAGCTGGAGTAAAGTGGTGTGATCACAGCTCACTGCAGCCTCTACCTCCCAAGGTCAAGCAATCCTCCCACTTCAACCTCCCAAGTAACTGGGACGACAGGCACCTGGCTAATTTTTTTATTTTTGGTAGAGATGAAATCTTGCTGTGTTGCCTTGGCTGGTCTTGAACTCCTGGGCTCAAGTGATCCTCAGCCTCCCACCTCAGCCTCCCAAAGTGCTGAGATTACAGGCATGAGCCACCGCACCTGGCCTTCGTCATTCCTGAGTTGGCCACATTCCTTAATCTGGGCAGGTAAACATAACTTTCCTGTGCCTCACAGGACTGTTGTGAGGATTGAATGAGACAACTTATGTAAAACTCCTAATGCAGAGTTTGCAACAGAAGGATCTCCATCCCTTCTCTCTCTAGAGGATGAACAAACCGAAAGGAAGAATATTACAGGTAAAGGAAACAACCCCTGCTAAGGAATTCAGCCCATAGTAGTGATGTGATATACTGATAAAACTTGGGGTTTGGAGTAGAAGAGATTTAGGTTTAGATTCCCTACTCCTCTAGCTACAACTACTGTGAGCCTCACTTACTGCTCTGTACAAGTGGGAATGACATCTATTGTCCTATAGGGACATTGTGAAGATTAAATGACATAATGCAAGTGACAGTGTCTGTAGTTTTAAGTAGCTGATTATTTTACAGGGGAATAAATTTGCAACATTAGAAAGCATTTTAGATATCATTTGGATTAACTGCTCACCTCATGCCAAAACCCTGTTGAATCTTATTTGATTACTCTTTACAGAGTCCCAACTTGGTGGTCAGCCCCGGCATGGCACCATCTCTAAGAAATCGCTGCAACCCCATGGCCCCCTACACTGTGCTGCATGCCCCTCTTCTGGGCACCAAGCGTCTCACACATACTTCTCTCACATCATTTACTGCAGATAATGAGGCGCATCCCTCCCCAGACTGAGCTCCCTGTGGAGTTCCCCCACTCCCTCCCTGGCACACGGAGGCCCCCATTGTCTGTTACACTGAATTGAACCAGCTTCACCACCTCTTCACGAGCCAGTTCACTCCCTTTGCAGATGGTAGATTTGACAGACTAAATATTATGAGGCAGAGTGTGGGAAGGTCACTATTGAGGATGTTGCAACAACTAAGGATGATCAATAGGGAGATGGTTACATATGGTCTTGCAATGCTTTCTAATTATTCCTGGTATGTTAATCTTACAGGCTTGTTGTCTTAAGATTGAGATTTAATAAAGTTATTGACAAGGACCCAGTGAAGTTATTACCTGTATGGCCAAGAACATTCATCTAAATACTATTTTTAATAGCCAAACATTGAAAACAATTGAAATGTCTAATATTCAAATGTATTTACAATGTATTAATGTTTTAATACATGATAGTATGACTAAAGAAATACCAGTATTCAGGATAATGCAAAAGAATATCTATTAACATGTAAAAACGTTTCTAAAATACTAACTGAACAAAAAAAAAAGGTTATAAAACAGTAAGTAGAGTTCAGTAGCATTTTGATCTGGAGGGATTTATAACTTGTTAAAACCTGTTTTGTGGCAGGATTGTGGGTGGTATAATTCGCTTCATTTTACCTATCTATGTATTTTTTTCATTTCTTAACATAAACATGTATTGCTCTAGAGATTAAAAAAATAAAATTCAAAAAGGGAAAATGGCTCACAGCAGTTGGATGGCAGGCCCGCTTGATGGTTATTAAAAGTCTCTGCTTCGTCTAACCCTGCCTACCTGTTCTCCAACTTACCCTACGGTCTCTGCCTGAAATCCAACTCCCGGGCACACTGAACCCCACTTGAAGTTCTAAGATTCTCTAGGCTTCCATGTTTTTGTAGGTGCAGCTCTCTAAGGTATGTTTTACCTATTCCCAGTTCCTTCACCCTCATCCCCACTTTAAAACTCGGCTTAGATGTCGCCACCTCCAGGAAGCATTCCTTGATATCTTCCCTCTCCCTAGCACTGATTAAATGTCTGTTCTATGTGTTTCCATGACTGTCCTCTATCCAAGACCTTAACCACATTTTATTGCATTTATTTAAGTGTCTGCATTGTAGGTGTTTTGAAGGCATTGTGTCTTTTATCTCTCTGTCCTCAGATTCTAGCAAAGTCTCTGCAACACAGCCAGTATTCAATAAACAGATCTAGAGGAATGAAGGCTGGCATTAAGAACCAGATCAAAGGGTCTAGGACAGAAGCAACATTTTTCTGGGCTGAACCCAGAAAACTCTCTCATAAGCTACTCTGGTTCTTATTTTGCTTCCAAAACCATAAAAGAGAACTTTCAGGCACATACCATTAAAAAAAATAAATTAGAAGGAATTTTATATGGCAGGCCTCTGAGAATAATACCGTATTATCTCCTAATGTGCTCATGATCCACTTTGGGGTATAAATCTCTCTGGTATGTGATGCCCTCTTGCTTCCTTCTTACCTTCCATTTAGATTTTGGAACATGGAGCCTGAAAAAAATCTAGAAGAAAAATGTATCTGAAATTCCTTCTTACCAACTAGCTAGTAGCCCTAAATTTTGGAAGTTGAGGAAAATAATTTTGGAAGTCAAGGAAAATGCTCTGAATTCCACAGAACATATAGACATTTTCTCTTTGGTTAAATTATAAGCTCCCTGTTACTTGCCTATTACTATCCCTCACAGAACTCAACACAAAGTTTCACACAAATAAGCTGCTT